GCACGATTTGCAATATTAACCCTTGTGTGATGCAAAATCAACCCCGTTGGGGTTATTTTTTGTTATCCTGAACACTTGTGGGGTGATTTCAGGGGAAAAAGAAAACCTTTCTGGGGTGTCTTGTTCAACAGATTCACTCTGCTTGTTTTTTTGAGTATTCACTCCTTTCTCCACTCTAATAACCTATATATATACACATTATATACACACAAGTGGTATTGGCAAGGATCTCTATAAGAAGAGGTCATAAAAATGGAAAAAAACAAAACAAGACAAAACCAATGCAAATGCACTGCCCCTTTTTGTCTCCAGAACAAGAATGGTGGTCACTTCACTGCTGCCTCCTTCTCCGCTCACTTGAAGAGTGTGCTATATGGCCTTACGGGAAAGCTGGCCTCTATAAACATCCTTCGATCTTCGTTCATCACATGGGCATACGACAAATCGTGAGTGGACGCATAGTTATTCTTAGTAATTCAGAGTGCACATTTAATCTTAAAAATAGTGAAGTTGAGTCAAGAGGTCAATCTTTCTTTGACTCGCATGAAACATTCTTAGCTTAAAATCAAAGGATTCAAATAATTTATTATTTCTATTTTCTCTTGGGACCATTCTCAGTCCCAGGTGAAACTGGAAACAGTTCTTATGCAAAATTTTAGAGGGCAAACAAATAGTATTATGGTATTTTTGAAAGTGGCCTATTATAAAATATATATTTTTAACAAGAAGTATTGTGGTATTTTTGAAAGTGGCCTATTATGAAATGTACATTTTTTCTTTTCGCTCACTGGCTGGCATTTTTAAGTCTTTGGTCAATCATAACTCAGACATTGTTCTATGATTTTAACAGGGACTGTACCGACTCTCTCAAGGTTTCCTTGGCATCTGCGCTCAGGCATTCACGTAAACAAGCACAAACTACGTATGATCGGCGCACAGCAAATCAGAAGAAACGGCTGGCAGTTGACTTGGCCAGAGATTACGCAGAGGGCCGTCTCGACGAAGAGGAAGATGCGACTGCTGAGCAACCAGAAGAGGGTTGTGCGGATGTAAACAGGGGCGATTTCATGGCCGTTGTCACAGAGGAGAGCACCTATCAGAATCCAAAGGTTTTTATTGGCCAGGTCCAGTCCATAAGAGAAAGAGAGGCAACGCTGTTGTATTACAAACACATAGGCACCAACTTGTATAAGCTTGAACTCTCAGGTGAAGAGTGGAAAGAAGGCATCGACAGCCTTGTTCCTGTACAATTGCAAGCCACCAAAAAGCGAGCCGGCGTCTACAAACTCATGACTTCCACTCGTACCATCCACAAGGCAGTCAAAGACTAACTCTCTCCGTGCAGTCTTACAGTCAAGCTCCGAGCAGTGAAAAACCATCTGATTTCCCAAAAGCAGTTTCACTTCCCAAAGACCAGAATCAATTCGCAAAAGTTCACATCCCAATTTTTTTCCTCAAAATCTTGTGACCTGCATGAGAGCTTGACTGAAAGTTGCATGTTTTCAAACAAGAGGGCCTAACAGAATAAGAATAATTTAGTTGAAGATAAATGTTATCGTCATTACCGAGACAGGGTACCGATAATTTCTCAGTCGTTCCATGAATTCGTTGTCCCAGTTTCCCAAATGCAAGTGAATGAGAGGTTGATTTAATATGTAGCTTTAGTGACTTGGAATGACATCACCTCAATCATTTGAGCCAGTAATTGCTTTATTGAGCCAGTTAAATTGACTCCACATGTACAAATGCAAATGACAATGATATTATTATTCTTAATTGGAACAAGGGCGATTTTTGCATGAAGTGAAATTCAAAATTCTATGCATATCTACAAATTCTGTAGATGCTTGGCCCGTCAATGGAAGTGAGGCTGATGTCCATTCCTCCCTTTGATGCAAATGGCAAGTATTAATACTGGTAGTGTAGCAGCTCTCATAACTTGCTTTTCTTTGGTATTGTAAGCAGCTTCTATTGTTTTGAAGTCTAAGTCATTGCTTCAATTGTTTGGTCTTTTGTTTTTGGCTAGGGTAGCAACCCAATCATATTATACGCTACAAGAGATGCCACATTACCCATTAAAACTGCCAGACCAGCCCTCTATATAGGGCACACATGAAATTTCCAGTTTTGAACTGGGCTAATGAGACCTCCTCGGCTCACAAATTTTTGTTTCAAGATCGATTGTTTATCCACTCGTGCACTCTTTTCAGTGATTAGGAAGCCTCTGAAAGATATTAAGTAAACAGTGGTTGAGCCCATAAGGTCTTTGCTGTCATTTACTCTTTTTAAAACTTGCTTTTTGTATTCACAGTTTCAAAACTTTCCGACGCACAGAGCAGTGCTGCAATCAAATGACTTAATTCTCAACAAAAAAGGCCAATAAATACTCAGATACTTGCTGATTGATAAACAATTTTACTCTATAAAAATTATTGTCCAGCCAAGAAACATGAGAGAGCTCATGCAGGCCTCAAAACTTAATGGGAGACTTAATGGATTTCTGGCTTTATTAGACATAATATTGGTACTGTCAAACAAATGACATGAAATTAATATCACCAGAGTTGCAATTATTAGGAGAAAGGCAGGAGATAGGAAACTTAATACCTGTGCCCTATAACTATGGTAACAGGAGTTACTGAGCAAGACAATAATCTTCAACTTAATATTACGAGAAATGATAATTTCAATAATTAGCTTTCTAGTTGTTGTTTTCGGAAGGTTAATTCTGAATGAAGAGTGCTTTTTGTGTTCTGCACAGACACTAGCAGTTGAATAATGTTGTTTACACATTAAAGATTATTGACAGGAAATTTAAATTGATTGTTTCAGTTGCCTTTTGTTGTTATTTATCTAAATGGAAAATAGGCTGTTGTGTTTTCCAAAGCCAAACATCTACGCAATAGATAGATAGATTCACGAGTGTCTAATGAAGGCTAACAAATATTAGTGGCTTGGTTCCTTCCTGAAAAAGTGTCTCTCTCCTGGCAGACCATAAAAAGTTATTATTATTATTATTGTAATATAAGTGAATGAAGAAAGACAGATGAACACATTGGGTGGCTAGACTTCTTTATTGGTTATTTTGAATCTAAGCAAGGATGATGATGATAACAATCTGTCTTTATTCATGTACTTATATACTTTAATGATAATGTAACTAATAGTCAATATGTATTAGAGATAAGGGGAAAGAAATCAACAAAAGACAAACCAATGTGAAGAACAGGAAAACTAATCAAAAAACTTTTTTTATTCTCCGGATTTGGGTCTAGGCACACATTCATTCATTGGTGCATTTGAGTCCCAGTAGAAGGCATGGGTCCTCTCTGCCAAAGACAGCTACTGCAAGTGGAAGGAAATGAAATGGAATTAAATTTCATTCAATGAAGCCTCATACTCCCCGGGCTGGGGGTACTCTGGATTTCAATTGACAGGGACGATCAAATGATGAACCACCCAAAATCCCTAGGGCCTCAAACAAAACCCCCAAAATCCCATGAACCAAAATTTTGACCCCCCAAAAATCCCTTGCCAAATTTTCAAGCCATAGAAATTTCCAGAAAGCATCAAATGATATCCAAGAACACGTTCTGTTACAACAGAACATTAGGAACAACCCTACAAAATGTTCCTATCTCAAAAATTCCTGAAATGGAGAATTTCAAACCACCAAGAATTTGGACATAATTGACCAGCAAAAAGAAATAATGATCATAACAATTACAATTTCCTCAAATGTGGTTGGTGCATAAACTGCTGTATTTTGCTCTAATTAATCTGCAAAGCTGTAATCGGACAGTGTAATCGGACAGTTGGCTGTAATCGGACACCTGTAATCGGACAGTTACATGAGCCAATCATTTTAAGTCCTCTCC